GCTGCGCTTATGAACAGCAATGATACAGTGTTTCCTTGGTTACCGCTGTAAACAAAGCAGAGCTGCACTTATGAACTTTAATATGCATTATACAGAGGCAAGGTGAAAAGAAAAAATACCATCGAAAGACAGTAAGTTCCCCTCAGACATGCATTCATATAAACTCCTACACCTAATTGAATCACGGTTTGTTTAGCATCTCAACCGATTTGAATCGTCACATATTTGTATCGATTTTCAACCGGCTCGCAGTTAATCGTTACATCCCTACTTTGAAGCATGCAGCGCAAACAGACTTGATGAAGGGATTAAGCATATTGTGCTTTCGGTTTTAGTTAATTTGACAGATACTGTGCCAAAGCATAATGCCCCAAAACACAACTTCAAAAACCTTTTATGTTTAAATATATTGACACTTTTTGCCCGGAAGACCCGTCGTTTCATATCGACATGTGACCATGATAATATCGAGACAGTTTTGCTATCACGAATATTGATGATATCGTTGCATCCCTAATTCTCCTCTGTCCTCTCTTCTAGTGTTGGATCTTCCGCTGTGTCCAGACACGTTTGAGGCCGAGGACAAGTCTCCGCTGCCATTTGCCCTGTATCCCGACCCTCGCTTGTGGAGCCCTAAAACACGGCGTCTGGAGGTCAACATTGTCCCTCGGCCGCGACCGTCCCCCAACCGGCCCCGCATCGACCCGTGGAGCTTCGTATCGGCCGCCAAGACGGTCATCAGCAGCCCCAGCAGCCCTCGCTTGGCCTACCAGCCCTCGCCCACAAACCCCTTCACAAACTGTGACCTCTTCCCTTCCCCAGATTGCGACCCCTTCCATCTGAGGGTCGACCCTGCTGTGAACTTGGACCACGCCTCGACCTTTGACCCCTTCTCGGCCCCGTTCCCCACCTCGCGCTCGGCGCCCTGCTCCACCAATGGCAGTCCCAATCTGTCGCTCAGGGTGGCGCCGCTGAACCCGGCCGACTCGCCGCTCATAGACCTGGCCTGGATGGGCGGCACCAAAGAGAGGGTCCATCCTCACCGGAGCCTCGGCCTCAGTCCGTTCAGATCGCAGGCGCCGCTCAGAGACGACCGCTTCTGAACGCTGTCCCGTAAACCAGGGCCGTGCCAACTCTGGGAAACCAAACGCAGGGGATTTCCATTTGACGCAGTGTTGTTGATGTGTCAAATGCTCGTTTGGGTGATCTTTCTGTGCTGTCTCAGGGTCTTATTGGCCTCTAGTTGCGCTTAAATAGATCCGCACTTGTTGCATCGCTTTAATCAGTCTCAAAAGTGATGCAGTCAGTGCCAAAAGATTTCAAAATGATTGCTTGTTTCAGCACAGATTCGTCTCTGTTGGCCATTAAGGTTGCGTTATTGTGCATTCTGAGAGCATTATGTGCGGGAGAATCCGTTACACATTCCACATACAGCGGTGGCCAAAATCATCAGAACACTAGTATTCTCCGCAGCTAAAAATGGGTTTAAGTCAGTTATTTCTATCTTTTGCTGTAGTGTGTCAGTAGGAAATATCAGTTTTTGCCATTAATTGTAATAATGCAGTGAGATATATGTTTGTGCTGCACACAGAGATCTGATCTGATCATCATCAGTCTGTCTGGAGTCACATGAAGAAACAGAACAAACTGAGACAGACTAAATCCAGAAGAACTGTGTCTCCGAGACGCTTCAAGAAACCTCCTGCAAAGCTACAGTGCTGTTAGAAGTTTTGACGTTGCCACAGTTCTTCTGGATTTAGTCTGTCTCAGTTTGTTCTGTTTCTTCATAGAAATAACTGACTTAAAACCGTTTTTAGCTGGTGAAAGTACTAGTGTTCTAATCATTTTGGCCACCGCTGTAGTTGCCAAAGATTGGAAGATGTTCACATCTGATGCTGAGTTGTGGTTTTTATGTTGAAGCCGGTCAACAAGCGAGCAGAATGGATCAAGTAATTCACATCATGCATGAGAAACGTCCTGCTGACCTCGCTGGTGGTGTTTGGGAGGGAGAAGTGCACTTAACCCGTTTTAACTAGAGTTCAACCGTTTGTGGTGCGTCAGAGATTAAGGCAATGTGTCAGCAGACAGAAGTGGAAATACAGATCAGCCTGAGATCTTGAACTCACAAAGCCGTTTTATAGATGCCATGGTGTTGGTATATAATAATAGTCCAAAGCAATATGGAAACCCAAATGTAAACCTCAAATCACAGTATATTTGTCTTGTTTTCCAGTAAAATAATATTTAAATATTCGTGAAATGAGATGCATTTAGTTTTTCTCAAACCTCACACAATTTAGTTAGATTTATGGCTAAAACATTTTGGCAATGCAATGAGACTGATGTATGTCAGTGTACATGCTTTTGACAAAAGTTCATACAAGCCGATTTTAGGTTGGATTTCCAGTACAAAATATCTAAAGGTTCTAAATTAATATACATTTGCTGGAGATGAAAAATTAATTATCTATCAAAATGATCAAAATGAAGTGATTTTATTCATACACAAGAACAAAACTGTTCATGGGGTAAGAAAAATGAACTTTTTTTTTTAACTCTAACCCCCGGTTTCAGGCTTAAATGTAAGTCTGAGCTGTTTCAACTGAAAGAAACTTGCACTGATTGATCTTAAAACATGTTAGTGCCTTTGTTTTGTCTTAAGATGCACACCAGTAAAGTTGTTTCTAAGGCAAGTTTAAAAAAAAAAAAGAGTTAAATGTCCTAATTGAACTATGGCTTAGTCTAAGCCCTGTCTGTGGAACCAGGCTTATATTTTCTCTCTTGATTTAAGCATAAACTCATTTCATTTGATCATTTTTATCGGAAAACCAGACTTAACATCTTAAGGAGTTTTGTTTCTCAAATAAATCCATCTTTGAGTATGGTTAGGTATTTGCACTGGAAAATAAGAGAAAAACCCAGAGAAAATCATTTTTGCATTGCTGGACAATGGCCTCCTTTGGCGCTTTGCTCCGTCATCAAGCGCGGGGAATCAGTCTGTGAATGCCGTAGAGTGAATCTGGTGTACTTTACCACTGCATACCACTGCAGCATAACCTCAACTAGAATAGTATAAGTGTGTGTGACCCTGATCCTCGTTGGGCTTTTATCTTTCATATGGCCTGCACTGAGTATCTGTGATTCCCACCACCGAATAAAAGGTAATTGTAACAATCTCACAGTTAATATCTCGTAGTCGAAGTCTGAGCTGTGAGATATAAACTTAGAATTGCCAGAAAAAAAGTCCAAATTGAAGGAAAAACAGTGAATTTGTGAAGGTGAAACCCTTTTTATTTAATTTTTTTATTCCATGGCAGAAATAAGCCTTTATGCAATCATTATACAATTACCACAGAAAAAAACATATTTAATTTAATAGCAAATTTTTATCTCAGAATTCTGACTTTTTTCTCAGAATTGTGAGTTTATATTTTGTGATTTTCACTTTGTATCTTGCAATTACATTTTTTTCTCTGATTTTTTTTTTAAAGTCAGAATTGTGATAAAAACTTGCAATTATTATTATTTTTTTTCCTGTAACGGAAAAAATCTTTCATAGAATTGCGAGATGTAAACTCAGAATAAAAAGGTCCAGAATTGCAAGATATTAACTGGGGGAAAAATCTGAATTTTGAGATGCAAATTTAGAATGTAGAAACATATCAATTATAAGAAAGAAATTCAGAAATGTGAGATGGAAAAAGTTGCAGTTAGCTTTTTTTTTTTTAAATCCTTTATTACAAGTTTCCATAGATCTGTGAGATTGTTCCATAGAATAAACTCAAAGTTTATAACTTGCAATTGTGAGATATGAATTCACAATTGGGACAAAATAAGTCAGAATTGTGAGATAAAAAAGTCGCAATTACCTTTTTATTTTTTTAGTCGGTGGTGGAAACAGACTTCCATTGAATTGTGAGCTATGAACTAAGAATTCAGAGAAACAAGTTCACACACACTCACTAACTCACACACACTCACTCACTCACACACACACACACACACACACACACACACACACACACACACACACACTCCAACACGAGGATCATCATCATCATCCTCGTGCGTTTGAGCGTTGCACTGTATGCAGATCCTGCTTGCAGTGAATAAAGCTAATCGCAAGCTATTAATATTTATTTAACACACTGGATTCGAGAGTTTTTAAAAGGTCAGAGACACAGTCCATGTTAGGATGCTTTATTAAATTGTATATTGATAAATATCTTTAGGTTTTGTTCGGTTCTTCACTGGAGTCTGTGGAGTTAGTGGTGCTGCAAAGGGACAAATCTGTGTTTTACAATGTCAGAAATACAAACAAAGACTTGCCTCGATTGAAAAGACAATATCTGAACTGTTTTTCCTTGGAATTCTTCTATTATGCTCTTTGTTTTTTAGATTTATTTGACCAAAACACTCCAGGCGTCTCTCAGGACAGATGGATGTTCACGTTTATCTCCCACTACCTGCTAAAAACTCGCCGATTTGAGGAGAATCTTCTTTTCATGTTGATTCATGTTTTATTGTAAGCTTATTGCTATATATTCAGTTCTGGTGAAGCCTGTATAACATATGTCGTGTGTGTGTGTGTGTTATTCTCAATGGGCTGGGCCTAATCACTCCATTACTGTGTAGAGAGAGAGAGAGCTCAATGACGAGTGTATTTCTGTTAAAGAAGGTGTGAATGTTTATTTTGCTAATTGTAATGGGTTTTAACCTGTGGAACTTTGAAGTTTAAAAAAAAAAGAGAAAAAGGAGCAAGACCAAATAAAATTTAACACGACTCTAAAACTGTGCTCGTGTTTGTCTGTCTAATGTAATTCACATGTGGGAAAAGCTACAGTTTAGTTTGTGAAAAACTGAAAATCTGCTGCCGTGGTTTGAAGCATGGTAGAGTTTTTGGTCACATGAAGCACGTCCAGGTCATATTTCACCCCAAAAACTATAGAAATATGGCATTTTTAAAGGATTTGTATTAACATTATTTATTATACATATTAAGTTTGCCTTAAGTTTCTTTTTTAGAATCCGTAACAAATCGGCCAAAAATATCAATGCCAGGAAAGAAAAAAAATAAAAATATTTTATATACCTTTTTAAAATTTTTATTTTTTTATTTTATATAGTTCTCATTTTAATTGTAAAATTGTAATCATTTTGTTGTGTTTTTCTCATTTTTAAATAAATATACTTTTTATTTCAATTTTAGTTATTTTAGTGCATCAAGTTAAACTAAATGAGAAATTACATGAAGTATAATAATTTCAATTGTGAATTAATTGCAAATTGAAGATTAACAGATAGTGTTACAATATTGTGAATATTGTGATATTAGCACATTGATTGTCTGTAAACATGCGATATTTCATCGTGACTTCATCAGCAGTATTATTACGATGATGATGTGTTGATAGTCTGTGTGTCCTGTAGGTGGCGCTGTAACGCAGACTGTCAGCTTTATTCTTCAGAAAACACACAGATGGTTTGATCTCTCTGATGTGATGGTTATATCTGATTTGTGTGGGATATTTCATGTGATTCTCGGCTGTGTTCAGTTTCTGTGTTTCAGACGCTGCTGTAACCACTGCTTCTCTCAATCCAGCGAACACGTCATCATCCTAAAGGTGTGTTGGTAATTAATGCTTAACTAATAATGGGCCAGATAGAGCACAACGCTTGGGTTCCAGGAGGAAAATCCCATTCATTTAACTGATATTTATCAGTAATGATTAAACCTTCACCATAGACGTATGTTGAGCTTGTTCAGTGATGCAATAAGATTTAGTAGAAATGAGATTTTAATTATTTGGAGGAAAAAATGCAGTTTAATATGGAAGCCCATTTCCACCACTGAATAAAAAAAAGGAAATTGCGGCTTTTTATCTCACAGTTGACTTTTTTCTCGCAATTCGGACTTTTTTTCTCAGAATTCTGAGATATAAACTTGCAATTGCGAGATATGAACTCTCAGTTCTGAGAAAAAAAGTCAGAATTGTGAGATAAAAAGTCGCAATTAGCTTTTAAATTATTTTTTAATCGGTGGAAACGGGCTTCCATAGTTTAATTGCTAGATTTGTGGTAAAATTTGTGGCTAAAAAATCTAAGTTAATCCTTTTATTCATCAAGGATGCATTAAACTGATGAAAAGTGACAGTAAAACATTTATCATGTTCCAAAATATTTCTATTTCAAATAAATGCGGTTCTTTTGAACTTTCTATTCATCTGTGAATCCTGTGTAAACTGAAAATGTCACGGTTTCCACAAAAATATTGTGCAGCACAGCTGTTTTCAACATTGATAATAATCGGAAATGTTTCTTGAGCAGCAAATCAGCATATTAGAATGATTTCTGAAGATCATGTGACACTGAAGACTGGAGTAATGATGCTGAAAATACAGCTGCGCATCACAGAAATAAATTACATTTCAAAGTATATTAAGATAGAAAACTGTTATTTTAAGTTGCGAAAATATTTCACAAGATTACATTTTTTTTCTGTATTTTTGATCAAATAG